GCTTGGGCCCCAACTGTTTACAATCTATATTAGCGACTTGTACATGGGAGGAAATTGTAATATTTCCATGTTTGCAGATTATTCAGCACAGTGGGAATGTGTTGTGGTGCAAGCAAGGAGGCTTTAATGTGATTTAGACAATGTGATGAGTGAAGTGACATATAATTTTTAGAGTTTGTATTTTAAAACAGCAGCATAGTTCTGTAAAAGGTTTTAAAAATGTAACTAGGTCAGACAGTCCTTCCAGAACAATGAGAAAATCTAGTATGTCATAGAGCAGAGCCCCATGCAATGTTAATGGAAGATAGTTTTTTTTATTGTATACAAAAACAGAAGTTACTGGAAAAGCTCAACAGGTCTGGCAGCATCTGTGATGAGAAATCAGAGTTAACGTTTCAGGATCAGTGACGCTTCTTCAGAACTAGTTTTTATTGCCATGGTTTACAACAAGTGGGATAACACTGAAGACCAATGATCTCACTGAAGTGTAAAAAATATTTAAAGGGACAGACGAGATACATGTAGGTAAGATGCATCCCTCAGTTGGAGATTCTGGAACTGAGAGCATAATTTAAATGTGGGATGTCATTTATGACTGAAATTTTAAATCTTTGGAATTCTCTATTCCAGTAAGTTTAAAGTAGAGATTGATAGATTTCTGCTTACCAATGGCATAAAGAGTTATGAGGATAGTGGAGGTAAAAAGCACTGAAGAGTTCGATCAACCACAATCATATTAAATAGCAGAGCAGGCTCAATGGGCTGAATGGTTTACTCCTATTCCTATTAGCTTATTTTTGGTCAGGATAGTAAAGAAAACCCAAGGATTGAAAGCTTTTAACCAGTTTGGAGGAGACCTAACTGGGGGCAAAAGAAAGGAGTATTGAACAGTTCAAAAGAAGTATAATTAACTCAGTAGAAATGTTTAGTTTGTGAAACTTCCAAACCAGGACCGTTTTATTTGAAATCTGCAGGTTATTAAAAGCTGAGAAAATCTAAGCTTTCAGTTTTGAAAGTATTCATGTAAGAATACTTCACAGTTTACAGGAAAAATCTGGAGAGAATTAGTTGAGTCAAACTTAAAGATTTGATATAGAGGAGTAAATTTTTCAGATTTGAGTTGCTACAATATATGGTATTGGATAATAGGATGTGATTTTGTTTTGCTGTATGTTTTAAGATATTTCAAATTGTTTTCTATAGATAGCTTTGTTTGTTTCATATCTTACCCTTTTTGTTGTTTAAGAACCTCTGCAGCCTTGTTGTGTAACTATGTTTCAATAATGAATCACCCCATATTAACTAACTAAATAAAACTATATAAGCTATCAGGCCTGGGATCTGGCATGTTTGACATTACCATCAACTGAATCATAACAAATAGCAAATTATGCCATCCAGGGTGGGGGAGAGGACATGTTGATGAGAAATAGGAGGAAGTTAAAGACAGATCTTAAGGACAGATCTGAGGAACACAAACATAATAGTGAAGGAGAAAGAGGTGATTCTGTAGCTACAGCTGGATAGATAAGAATGGAACCAGGTGAATGCGGTTCAACAGTGAAGGAGAGACATTGGAGGAGAATCATGTGGTGAACTCTATCAGATTGTCTACAGACAGGTTGAGAAGGATGAGATAATCTACCACAGTTACAATCATATATGATGTCATTTGTGACATTGATAAGAGGCAGTAAATTTGTGAATATTCCGTCAACTTCACGGTCACTTTAATCAGTTCTGTAACTTAAATTCTGTAGTAGGATTTGAACTCCCAGAGTCTCTGATTACTAGTTTAGTAAATTAGCCAGTGCCTACACTCTGGAAGGTAGTCAGGAGGAGAGATCATGATGCTCAGTTGCCTTCAGGATGATTGTGACTGACTACAGTCCTTACTATCACCTTGGCTGAGACCAGCTAACTCAGCACAGCTAGATGGAGCTAGGAACTCTTGTGGTTTGCTCAATACACCTTAACAACAAGTCATGGTCAGAATTTTTTAAAAATTGCTTCTTGGTAGTTCTATTTTCTTTCTGTTTTATTTTCCATCGGGTCAGGTGGCTCCAGAGTACAAATTGGCCTTTGTTGCAGCTACTTTAAGTTGTGAAACAGATACAATGAGACCCAATTTTGAGGGTTAAAGTCTTGCACTGTAAGTATGCCTGAAAAAATATGATCTATGATACGATTTGGCTATTTTTCAGAAGCTCCTGGCATCCTATTAATGATATTATGCCCTAATGTGACTGATAAGCCTAGTGAGTGCTTTTAGGATCTCTAATATAAATCTGATTGCAATGTAGGATAGAAATTGATTCTTACACAGCAGTCAACTGAAAGATTCAGATATTGTTCCTGCTGAGCCAGTGGGAGCAGGAACCATAGGTGTCATTCCTCCACCAGAATGCCACACCCTTCCCAACCCACCACTGGTAAGCTCCATATCATCATGTGCATAAGGCAGAGGGCCTACATTCAAACTCCACAACTGCATGAGAGACACTGTCGTCTCAGATATGAAATGACCGAGGCCCCATTCCAGGCAGATTTTAGGCCTCTCAGTTGGCATTCTTTCTGGGCCTGAAAATGGACACAGACAAATTCCTAAAGGCCTCATGTTGGTGATGCAAGATAACATTCATATGGAAGGACTATCAAGCTGGATGTGATCACCAAGTTTATTGCACAATATTTCACAGAATAATTCCATGAACAACAAAGTTTGCATATAATCATGAATTAAGTAAAAGAAGGCAAAATTCAGTTTCTCAGAAGATGTTATAGTACCTGGTGATAGTGTAGTTAAACATTTTTATTCCAGTTACTGTAGTAAAATACCATACCAGTAAAGTTAAAATCATGTACATTTTTGGGCACAATATTCAGCTTTTCACTGAGTGTATTGGTACTCCTGTGCTCAAGAAGCAAAAGTTATTTTCACTGATGGTGAGACTAACAGGATACTTTCTCAATGTATTGTACTGGTAAGTGTTGGGTCTGTAGCTGTTATTAAATAAGATTAGTGAATGACAGGATCAATAACAAGGATCCCTTTAAACATTTTCTTAGGTGTCAAGGAAAACTTCATGACCAAGTATTAGAATATTTAATTGATAGTTTCTTCCACTCCCTCAACATTTATAACATAAAAGCAGTTGTGAATGGAAATAATCTCAATGTTGAAGCACCAGGTAGTGAAAACATTGTACTAAAAAGTGAATGTGGGCATGCGCACGCACACACACACACACACACACACACACACACACACA